GGTTTTTCCATGGACTTTTGAAGCCGTATGTGTGTACGTGTGTGTTTGTGTATGTGTGTGTGCAGTTCTTGAAAATATAAAGAAAGTCACTCCATGCCACATTATGCTGGTGACTGGTAACTAAATGTGATGATGAGAAAAACATAAAAATGATGGCATTGTTACAGCAGGTTTAGATTCAAGAGTGTCGCTGCAGCTCTTGATCCATCGTCAAAGAAACCGTGGCCACTTAGAAGCAGAGTTTCAGATTTTATTAAGCCGGCTGGCTCAGAGGAGCTAATTTCGCCACATTCTGAGCCTGGAATATAGGACAGTGTAGACTTATATAATGTCAAAATAGGGGAGGGGTTATGTTGCAGACCTCTTTGAAAACAGGAGGGAACGAGAGCATTGGTTCCCTTCAGTAACCAGTAACCCTATTAACATTTCAGTTTATCTCCTGGGCAGAGAGGGCAGTGAATGTTTTTACCTTTTCCTGTTCAGTATATTATCCCCAAATTTTTCAGTTGGCCATTAAATATCATTCTTTGTTGTTGTTATGTGCCATCAAGTCGGTTCCTATACATAGTGACACTGTGTTGTGTTTCCAAGGAGCAACTGGTGAGCTTGAACTTGTTCAAAGTGACTCTTCAGTCCTGCGCATTCACCAACAGTGCCACACCAGGACCTTTAAAAATAAAGAATTGAAATCCTTTGATATTCATTTTATCTTGAATGATCATGCTGATACCTTCAATATTTTCTCTGTGTGTATAGCATAGTGGTTATGAGTCGGTCTGCTAACCTTAAGGTCAGCAGTTTGAAAATACCAATTGTTCTGAGGGAGACAGATAGCACGTTCTGCCCCATAAAAGTTTACAGCCTACAAATTGAATAAGTATAGAAAATGATACAACTCTGCCACACACTTTTCCTGATTTTAAGACTGCCTCTTGGTCTAGTTATAGGTTCCAGATGAGTACAATTAAATGTTCCGGAATCTAATAATCATTTTTTTTGAACAAATTTCATTTTTAATTAATGCACAATCTTTCCTAGAACACTGAATAATTTAGAAAGTTAATTTGTTTAAATCTAGAATTTTCTCTTCTTCACACATTCTTTAAAAATTATACTGTTGATTCCTTGCCATATACAAAACTGCATCTTCCATTTATTTTTTTTATCATGTCACCTAATCATTTTTAGTAAACTAGAAAAGATCTGAAAATCATTGTATCCAGTTATCTTGCGTCACAGTACTTTTTCATTTCTGAATAAAGCTCTATGATACTTTATACATTTCAACATTTGACATTTTTTTCACTGGCAATTTGACAATCAGCATATTGATGAGACCTAACTTGTTATCACTATTTCAAGAAAATGTTTTAAACACAGAAAACCAGACATTATTTTTTCCAGTAAGTTTCATTTTATATAAAATAATATTTCACATTCTTTTTCTATTTCTACAGATTTCCTTTTATATATTTACACTGAAGTAAATATAAGTTTGTCATTCTTGATTCTAGAGAGTGACTTAGGGGAGTGCATTTGCTACCATCTTCTCCTCAGAATCCCCAGTTAAATGAATGCCATTATGAAACCTTCATAAGGAAAAGAGGTATTGGTGTTAGTACTAGAATCATATAATTAAATGAATATGAGAGCACTTCTCCTTATGCAATGAAGGATTTACTTTAGAAATAATATCAAATGAAGCTCTTGAATTATGGTGAATTTAAAGAAGATAAATATTCACAATTATCCAGTTGAACTACTACCCAACTTTATCTACCATTGACAGTTCAATGCATTCTATATTTCTTTATAGCTTTTTGTTTTTACTTTTAAATATTTTTATTTAGATTGCTCTCTAGATAACAATCTATTCATCTACTGTTTGTAAGTGTATTTTGTTTAAACTTGTTATTGTGAATTGAGTTAAGATCATCAGCTTTAAACATGTTACTGTGAATTGAGCTAAGATTAGCTTGAAACTTGTTATTGTGAATTGAGTGAAGATCATCTATTTAAACTTATTACTGTGAATTGAATGAAATTCATCAGCTTTACATTCAACAAATCATACACTTTGTTTCATCTCAATGATTACTTCACCTCCATGTCAAAACAGTTATCCTTCTTCCTCCCTGTGGTTTCTATTTACATTCCACTTACCTTAATATCCCTTCTCAACTTTGTCCTTAAGACAGTGTTGCCCTTCTGATTTTAAATGATTGACCATTCATTCCATGGTGAGCATACTTTACTCGTGTTGTTGTCCCTTTGTAAATCTTTCTTATCTACTGTTTGGCTGAAAATTGGGCCATGAGGCTGAATTTCTTTCCAGAACTGAAGAGTGGTTGATGGCCATAGTCTCAGGTTCTCCAGTTTCTTTCTAACCTAGTCTTTTACTTTTTTGTTATTAAATAATTTTGAATTTTGTTCCACATTTTATCCCACTCTATTCAGAACCCTCTGTGTGATACCTACTAGGGCAGTTGGTAGTAGTAGCAGAGAACCACTGATTTCTGGTCTCAGAGTCGTGGAGACTGGTGTTAATATGTTCTGTTAGTCTATTGGATTAATTGATTCCAAGCCTCTTCAATTTTTATCAGTCTTCTTTCTTCCACACATGGACAGACCAATAGCTGCACCTTAGATGGCTATTCATGAACTTTCAAGATCCCAGACACTACTCACTCAGTCAGTATGTACAACATTATCTTTTGGGATTAAGTTTTGCCTGTTGGCCATGGTGTTCCATGAGACTATTGTCCTGAACTCCCATATCCAAACACTCATTACCTTAGGAGGTTTGATAATATCTAGGAAGTTTTCATCATTTTTCCTGCTATATACTCCACCACATTCATAGTTGTACTATCAGAAAAGGTAAACACTCATGTATAAATATCCTCTTCAAGCTCTTATGTACTTGTGGGATAAATAAATATATATCCCACTCTTCCTGTTTTACCCATTCAACTTATATCTTAATTCATGTATCTACACACAACAACACACTGTTGTTCCACTATTGTGTATATAGCACTATTTACCTCTATCCCCTTTAGCGCTTGCATACCTCCCTGTGTCTTCCTCTATCTTCATTATTCTTCTGTCACCATTGCCCTCCCTCTTCTTGTGTATTGCCCTCCCTGTCACCCTAGCTAACCAGTCAATACTCTCCCCTTCCTCCTGTCCCTGATAACCATCAAAGAATGTGTCTTTTATTATGGAAAACTATCTTTAAAGCCTACCACACAACTACCAGATGAAGTACTATTTCTACCATGGTCTCTCCTGGCCCCAGCTCTCTTACATCGCCGAGGATGAGAACGGGAAGATTGTGGGCTATGTCCTGGCCAAAATGGAAGAGGACCCAGATGATGTACCCCATGGTCATATCACATCACTGGCTGTGAAACGTTCCCACCGACGCCTTGGTTTGGCGCAGAAGCTGATGGACCAGGCGTCCCGAGCTATGATTGAGAATTTCAATGCCAAATACGTCTCTCTGCACCTCAGGAAGAGTAATCGGGCCGCCCTGCACCTCTATTCCAACACCCTCAACTTTCAGATCAGTGAAGTGGAACCCAAATACTATGCAGATGGGGAAGACGCTTACGCCATGAAGCGGGACCTCACCCAACTGGCAGATGAGCTGAGGCGGCAACTGGAGCTGAAGGAGAAGGGCAGGCACGTGGTGCTGGGACCCATCGAGAACAAGGTGGAGGCCAAGGGCAATTCACTTCCAATCTCGGGCAAGGCCTACCGGGAGGAGAAGGGCCTGGCTGCTGAGAATAGCGGAGGAGACAGCAAGGACCTCAGTGAGGTCAGCGAGACCACCAAGAGCACCGATGTCAAGGATAGCTCCGAGGCTTCTGATTCAGCCTCCTAGAGTCTTCCTTGGCCCACCCTGGCCTGCCCCACCTCACCCCACTCATTTGCCCAATAAAGATCACCCTGTAGTGGGGGGAAAAAAAAAAACAAAAAACTATAAGTTGTTACTTAATGGTCTCATGTAATATTTGTTCATTTGTAATTGATTATTTCACTCATCATGTCCTCTAGATTCATTCAAGTTTTGTGATATTTCACAGATTCTTCGTTATTCTTCAAGGTAGCATGTTGTTGTTGTTAAGTGCCATCAAGTTGATTCCGACCCATAGCAACTCTGTATAGAGTTTCCAAGGAGCAGCTGGCGAGCTTGTAAAGTTCAAACAACTTTACAGTCTGATGCATTAGCCCACAGCGCCACACATAGTATTTCATTAAATGTATGTATCAAAGTTTCTTTATCCACTCTGCCATTAATGGACATTTAGGCTCTCTTTATCTTTTTGCTCTTTTGGATAGTGCAGTGATGAACATTTGTTGTTGTTGTGTGTCATCAAGTTGGTACTGACTAATAGTGACCTTATGCACAACAGAACGAAACACTGCCTGGTCCTGGGCTCAAGTCACAATTGTTGCCATGCTTGATTGAGCCCATTGATGCTTCCACTTTGCCAATCCATCTCACTGGGGGTATTCCTCTTTTTCTCTGGCCCTCCACCCTACCAAACATGATTTCCTTCTCCAGCGACTGGTCCCTCCTGACAATATGTCTGAAATATGAGAGACGAAGTTTGGCCATCTTAGCCTCTAAGGAGCACTCTGGCTGCACTTCTTCCAACACAGATCTGTTGGTTCTTTTGGCAGCCCACGGTGCTTTCTGCTTATATCTACTCACATTCTGACTCATATTTCTTTTGGAAATATACCACATAGAGGGATTGCTTGGTCATAAGGTATTTCTATTTCCAAATTTCTGAGGAAGTGCCATACTCTTCTCTTGAATGGTAGAACCATTTCCCAGTCCCACCAGCAATGTAGGAGACTCCCAGTCTCTTCACACCATAACCAGTATTTATTGTTTTCTCTGTTGTGCTGGTGTTAATGCTGGTCTGAGATGTTATCTCATTGTTGTTTTGATTTGCCTCTCTCTAAATGTCGGTGGTTCAAGCTCACCAGCTGCTCCTCAGAAACCCTATACAGGGTTGCTATGGGTCGGAATCAACTCAGCAGCACTTCACAACAACAACAATGACTATTATTCCTGGTTTGGTGCGGTAGGAAACCACAAGGTTGGTTTGAACCACAAGATTGACACTTCAAATTCACCAGCTGCACCTCGGAAACCCTATATAGGGTAGTTATGGGTCAGAACTGACTCAATTGCACTGAACAACAAAAACAACAATTGCTATGAAGAAATGTTCATGACCATTAGCCATTGTTGTTGTTGTTGCTGTTCAGTGCCATCAAGTCAGAACCGACTCATTGTGACCCTGTATGGGGTTTCCAAGGAGCAGTCCAGTTTTAACCACAAGGTCAGCAGTTCAAACTCACCAGTCACTCCTCAGAAACCTGATAAACGGTCTCTATGAGTCAGAACTGACTGCAGGGAACTTAACAACAACCACAGTGACTAATGGTAGTGAACATTTCTGCATATATTTATTGGCAGCTGGGATGTCTTCTTGGGTGGAGTGTGTGTTCATGTCCTGTGCCCATTTTTTAATTTGGTTGTTTGTCTTTTCTTGTAGAGATGTTTTAGTTTTCTATATACTTTAGATATTAGTCCCATGTTTATTATGTCATTACAAATAGTTGTTGTTTTTGTTTTTTTCCCGCAGTCTATGGGCTCTCTTTTTGCTCTTTTGGTGAAATCTTTTGATACACATATTTCTAATTTTTAGGAGGTCCTGGTGGTGGTGGTTATGTGCCGTGGAGTAGGTTCTGACTCATAGCGTCCCTGTACAGGGTTTCCAAGCCTGTAAATCTTTACAGCCTCATCTTTCTCCTAGTCATCTATTTTTTCTTCTACTGTTTGTGCATTTTTTGTAATATTTGATAGTACATGTATGACAGGTACTAGAGCCCCTAAGTTTGTCCCTAGTTTTCTTTGATGATCCTTATAGTTCTGGTTTTTACATTTAGGATTTTATTCTGTGTTGAGTTTGCTTTTCTATATGGTGTTCGATATGAGTCTTATTTCATTCTTATGCAAATAGATTCTAAATTTAACCAATACCATTTGTTGAAAAGACTATCTCTTCCCCATTTAATGTGTTTTGGCACTTTGTCAAAGATCAGTTGACTATATGTGGATGGATTTACTTCTGGCTTCTCAATTTTGTTCCATTGATCTATGTATCTTTTGTTATACCAGTACCAACCTGTTTGGGCCACTGTGGCTGTGTAGTAAATTTTGATATCAGGGAGTAAGAAGCCTCCAACATTGTTCTTCTTAAGCAGTGCTTTGCTTTCCCAAGGTCTCGTTCCTCTTTATAAAATGTTTGTGATGATTTTTTCCATCCCTTTGTATAATTATGATTGAATCATATATAATCACACCTGCATATCCATATTCTTTTTTTTTTTTTTCATAGATACACCTTTTACCATTCTACTCTCTACCCCAAAATGCAATAACACCTCATTTGCCCCCTAGATTATTAAGATTCAGCACCTAGGAAAATCTGGAAGATGACAAGGAGGGAGGCAAATTAGAACATTTGTTTCTTTCTCTAGCTTCTCCCTTGAAGCATTACCTCAAGTTACCTGTATCTTTTACATTTGATTCAAAGTTTCTCTAAAGATGGCCTTTAAAAAACAATTAGATTCTTCTGGAATCTGGAACCTACTCTTTCCCTTGTCCCTGTCAGCTTAGGGGCAGTAAAAATTCCCATATGTAACCTATTGGGCTTTTCGAAAACTTCAGATACCCCTTTGTAGATAGTTTATTCAACCATCTAAGAATCATTCTAATTTGAGTTTTTCTTATTGGGACACCAACTAATAGTATATCAGTGGTTTTACTGCCTGCTTTTTACTTTGCTCAACAGTATATTTAAAAATCCTTGCATATTTTTCAGAGTTATTTTTAAACCTTTTAAAATCTTTATATCACAAATTTCCAGTGATCAAGGATGTACTTTGTTTTCTGTTTTCTCACTATTCGTGTTAATGCCATAATGAACATGTGTGTGTGTGTGTGTATATATATATATATATATATATATATATATATATATACACACACACACACACACACACACACACACACACACAGAACAGCACTCATTATACTTTGGTGTGTATATATCTGTGTATTATATATATGAACAAATACATATGAATATATATTTGTTGCTGCTGCTGTTAAGTGAGTTCTGACTCATAGAAACCCTGTGTAGGGTTTCCATGGAGTAATTTGTAAGTGTGAACTGCCAGCCTTCTGGTTCACAATCTAATGCTTATCCTACAGCACCACACCAGGAGTCTCTGTCTTTTTATATAATTAAAATATTAATTATGGCATTACTACTAATAGTGAGAAAAACAGAGAACAAAGTAAATGCTCAATCATGAATATTGTTGTTGTTATTGTTGTTTTACCGTTGAGTCAGGTCTAATCCTTAGTGACCAACAGAGTGATACATTGCCCGGTTCTGTGCCACCTTAACAATCATTGTCATGTTTGGACCCATTGTTGCAGCCACTGTGTTCATCTTTCTCTTTGAGGGTCTTCCTCTTTTATGTTGACCCTCTATTTTACCAAGCATGATGTCCTTTTCTAGAAACTGGACTCTCCTGATTACATGTCCAGAATGAGAAGAAGCCTTGTCATCCTTACTCTTAAGGAACATTCAGGGTATAGTTCTTCCAACACAGAGTTGTTCTTTCTTCTTGTAGTCCACAGTAATTTTTTAATGGTATCTTTAATATTCTTCCCAACACCATGATTCAAAAGCTTCAGTTTTTCATCTGTCCCCCTTATTCATTTTCTAGCTTTTGCTTGCATATGAGGTAATTACAAATATCATAATTTAGGTTAAGGTCACCTTAGTCCTCAAAGTGGTAGTTTTACTTCTGAATAATAGATATGAAAGGGTCTGTTGTAGAAGATTTGCTTCCATGCAGTGTGATTTGCTTTCTTGACTGCTGCTTCCATGAATGCTAATTGTGAATCCAAGTAAAATGATATCTTTGACCCCTTTAATCTTTTCTACATGCATCATGATGTTGTCAATTAGTCCATTTGTGAGAATTTAGAAAAATATTCTTATCCATTCTGAAGGCTGTAGTCATTGATCTTTATTTAGTAAGTGCTTCGAGTTTTCTTTGTTTTCAGTAAACAAGGTTGTGATATCTGCATATGGCAAGTTGTAAATGAGTCTTCTCCCAATTTTGATGCCCCCATTCTTTTTCATATAGTCCAGTTTCTTAAATTATTTGCTTAGCATACAGATTGAGTAAGTATGGAAAAGGAAACAACCCTGCCACACAACTTTTCTGATTTTAAAGCATTCAGTTTCTATTTGTTCAGTTTGAGTGACTGCCTCTTCTTCTAGGTACAGGTTCTAGATAAGGACAATTAAGTGTTTTGTGATTCCCATTCTTTCCGTTGTTATCCATAGCTTGTCATGATCCACACAGTGGAATGCTTTTGCAGCTGTCCTGTTATTTTATGAATGCTTTATTCATCCTGTTATTCTAGCTTTTCTCTATTTAGGACACAATGACTTTACTGCCTTTATTTGTCCCCCTTTACACTCTTTTGCCCTTGGCTTTAGGACCTGAACTTGACTTCATAGGATTTGACCTTAGAACACTCTATCCATTTGACTTTTACTCACCCTCTTATTTGTTTACAGTCTGCCTATCTCTGTGATCTAAATTCTATCAGAAGAATTCATTATACCCACATAGAGGAACAACGGACTCTATGAAGAAGTAACAGAGGAGTTGAGAGAATACATTATACTCAAGAATACTTAGGGTCAAAATATGAACTATATTCAAGTCTTCACAGAATCCATTAGTAAACAGTAGTATCCTTTAGCAACTTCA